GTCGCAAGAGGGCCCGAGAGGCTGCATGCCGGCCCGCTAAGGAGTATGAGTAGACAAGTCTGATGGCCCATGCAGTCGCTCAAGGGAACAAGGCAGGTTGGGTGTGGCCCAGTGAGTGGCAGCATGTTAGAGGCCCGGTGAGAGAGGCTGGAGTGTGAGGCGCCCCAGTGAGAAGGGGGCAGTATGAGTTAGGCCCAATGGGGCAGAGTGAAAGGACATATGTATGAGGCCTAGCAAGGAGCTGAGTCTGGCTTGGCCTCAAGCCAGAGCATAGAGCGAATTAAGGATGCCATCTACAATGCATGGGACCTGATAACGGGAGGTCAGAGTTGTGTACAGCACTCCCTGGCATCAGGGCAGTAAAATGGGAAACCTCCTGTATTTATATACCAGCTTTGGGAACAGCAAGTCGTGGCAGGAGAGACTGGGCAAACTGCCTTACTTAGACAGGTAGGTGTGCTAACATGAGACCCAGCCCCAGGATGGCCCCCTTTCATACTAATATTACACGTACATGCCAAGAAACAGGTACGAACAGTACGGAATAATAATCACAGCTATACTAAATAGCTATTGGCCTTAGTGTGGTTACCCTAATGCAGTGGAGTTTTTAAACACTGACATCTACAGTCAATCATGGATTTACATAATTTACATCTAGCAATTAACTAGTTCAAAAAGTCTAAACCATTTTCCACAGCCTTTTCATAGGTGTATACTGAGTGTAAAAGGCATAAAATCTTTAATTTGATCACCTCAACGAATTCATGCAACTAATTCCACGTCTCATTTAATTTTTTTAATCAGCTTTCTGATCCTTTCTGATTAACAGAAACCAAACTCTGTTCTGCGTGGTGCTAGCTTACAGGGCTTCCTGTCATGTTGACTTTCAAGACAGGATAGCTTAGTTGTCATTATTGTCATTTTTTACATTTAATTGATTACCACACAAGTCTTACAGCCTAAGGTAGAAATTCTTTTTTTCCCCTGCTATCTTCTGCAATCAAATCACCGTAAATATTTTCCCTGTTATAAAAACATGCAATCAAGGATACAAAACCATTGTATTAAATACTAAGATGCTTACATATTTTGCACATGCGCCAAATGGCATATCTAACAATGCATTTGCAAACATAAAATAAGAAAGTACTATACACAATTACTAGCTCTGTGGACAAAATATGCCATATTTGAAAATTCAATCCACCATTTGCAATCTTTAATAACCTGACCGTGTACTACTTTTCCCATATGATCCTTGTTCCATTTGGTAAGGATGATAGGTTGGATTGAATGGGAATGGTTTTGGATTATATAATGAATGAGGTAGCATGCCTTTAGGATGCCAAGTTTTTTTTCCTCTCTTTTTTAAAGAAATTATAAGACTTGTGGTAAAGGGAATAGGGTTTTGCAGGAAATAAATCATCTCATGTTTAAGATAACTGAATGCCCCTCTAGAAAACTGTACTCTATACCTGCCTCTGCTACATAACTCTTGAAAATGTCTGGGTTCTTATTCACATAAATTCTGAGCACCCATAGTTTGTCCCCAAACCCAGGTAATACAACATGGTAAAATCACACTAATTTCTGCAGTCAACCATACTCAACAGTAAGGGGCTGCAACCTATTGCCTGAGGGCTGGATCTGGCCAAAACAACCTGTGGATCTGGCCCACAGATGTGGGGCTTTGGCAGCATTTGGAGGTGGAGGAGGCTTCAGCTGTGGGTACCGTGCCACTGAGGAGATGAGAAATGAAGGCAGTAGAGTCCTAGCTCCTGCGCTCCTACTTGCCTCTGACCCATGGTGGGTCATTCTGGTGCACAGCTGGAAAAGCTTGCCTGCCCCTTCTCAAGGGATTTTTATGGTGGCTAGCACCCTGGCTCTCCTTCTTTGACTCCCCAAACTGAATGAATAGGTACCTGTTTACCATTGAGTTTACCAGGAACAGCATTCAGCATGCATCTGGAGAGCATGAAGGGTTGAACTAATTTAACTATATTTGGTTTCTAAATAGCAACAGTTAAACAAAGAGAAAAATCTGTGTGTAAGCCAAATCCCCTGCCTGTAGAAACAATGAAATCTGAAGAGGCCATTTGAATGTTTAAGTGTCATACAAGACAATTCAGACTAATTACCTTAAGCACAGCATAATACATATGATAAATTACAGAAGAAGGTCAAGAGGTTACTTAATACTCTCCATAACAGCAACAATATCATTTCTGGAGGTCATTAACTGCCCGTTAAAAGCTGAATAGAGAAATTAATGGTCCAGGGCAGAGGCAAGAAAACATAATGCTCTCAAGTCAACAAATAAATACTCATTAGTATACAGTTCAAAGTAAAAACAAATTGAGGTGTTCCATAATTTCAAAAGACTATACTTGTCCTTTTGTTTTCTGTTTTTGAGGTAATTGAGCTCTCCAATAAATATGCTTTTCTGATAGCTTTATCACTATAGTTCTATTCCCCAAGACACCCATAAAAATAGTTAGGCACAATGATTTGTAAAAATATTCAACCCCTTGTTTCTTCAATATGTATTTTACCATGGGATGCAGTTTGCTCTTCCCGAATCATTCATATTTCTCAAGCTTATGATAAAAAAATATTTTTAACCTCAAATTTATGATAAATAATTATGTTTAACCTACCCTCTGTTAAAAAAACCAACAACATCCAAATAGATATGTCTCTATAACAACCTTAAAGTATTTATTCTTTCTCTCTGGTTAAACTTAGAGCTAGAAACAGCTACATTATCTTCACAACCACCCGGAGGTAGAAGTCTACAAACTTCTGTAGCTCAGCCACCACAGGGATTTGCTATTTTAGTTATTTCTGCTTATGAGCTGCTAGTAAAAGCAAAATAATTGTTTAATTAAGAATATAAGACTGTGTAAGCTTTAATAATATTACTGTCTCACCCATTTTGAACTACTAAGAACCATATATAAGTCCACCTACAAAAGGCTACACACCCACAAAAGGCTACACACTTTCCTAGTGACCACTTTAAAGATGCATTCTGTTCTCTTGGGAAGGTGGGAAAAAAACCCAGCCTCACAGGCATTCAGATACCAGGGCAATGAATAAAAACACAAATAGAATGAAACACTACTGCAAGATTTCCACCATGCCTGAATCTTCACACTGATTCAGCTATTCCAAGGAAATCAATCAAGACTACTGACACACACATCCTGAAAAGTCCTGTGCTTTTTCAGAAAAATCCACATTCCATGTTCTACATTTATACAAGGCCTACTATCTGAGAATCTCACAATCTTTATAAAATTCAACATGTCTCCATTACTAGCATACTATTCCATGTTATAATCATAATCATTAGATCTGTAATTGTTTTGTACACAATTATATAACCCAAACATTTACTTACCTTTAATTAAAATACAGATTTAAAAAGATTCAGTGCTGTAGATGGAACACCACAGTGTGTAATGCTTTTAATGAAGACTTCTTTATTTGGCTACACACAGACATTCAAAAATCCTGAGCCTGAATTGATTCAATCTTTTCATGTTTGTCTAACCTGCAAAACTTGAACCGATTTAGAGGTGGACAGAAATTCCCTTTTCATTCCAGAAATGCAGGCACCTGCCTGCAGTGGCTCAGGCTTGAAGCCGGGGAGCGCTAGAGCAGCCCTCCCTTCCCTTCTATAATGCTGAGCAGAGGGGGTGTGGTCAGGCCCTGGCAGGAGGCTTTGATTAGGGAGAGGTTCCCACCTCCCTCCTGACTAGCAGGGAGCCAGCAGGGAGTTGATAACAGAGCAGTGAGTTACACAGCAGGGAGTTACACAGGGAATTGTTAGCATTTATTACCCTATCAAACAGAACAAAGCCTCTCTCATTAATTCAAGCTCTTCTTAAACAACTTTTTCCAAGGAATGGATATTACCAGCTACCTGTTGATCAGCTCTAAAAATCCCTAAGCCAACACTGTCTTGTCTGTCTTTGTCCAGTCTCCCAGAGCATGGGCTGTAGCCAGCATGTGGTATGCTAGATAATGCTGAGAGGGTCTGTGTAAGGCAGAGGGGAGAAGGGAATCCCTCCTTGAGCAGGGAGTGGTGAGGGGGAGGGGGGAGCAGGAGGAAACCAGGTAGACCCCGTTGTACGTGCACTCTCTGCCAGAGCAGAAGGGTGGGGCCAGCCCTCCTGGGCTGGAGCAGAGCCCTGCCCAGAGTTGCAAAGCCTGTGGGATGCTGGAGGATTCTGATTTAACTTAAACCAGGAAGACGTCTGGTACAGACATTGCATAAACTGATTTGACACAAATCAGTTAAGTCTGATGCTATATTCAACCAGGTTTATCTCAAACCTGTTTCAGTCATTTTCAAACAGGTTTATGTGCACTGAGTATCTGTTCTGTTACAGGTTTAAACCAGTTTCTGATCACTTAAACCGGTTTATGTATAATGTCTGTCCCTAGCCTTTAAGGTTATAGACAAATATAATGTTTAACCACTTTAAAAAGGGGAGGGAAACTATTTCTTAGGAATGCACCTCAGCCTCAATGACAAAGGTTACATTTATTTGAACCTGTAACAATACAAGTTATCTGAATCGCTGCAAGTTTTCTTCTAAAGGAAACAATTCTACATAAGTTACACTGTAACTGTTTATATCAGTATCATTTGATATTGACTGTAAATATCCTGAAATGCACTTACGGATATGCCAATAATCTCATCTCCTTTAGGCCTTGAACACATAGTACAATTACAGTACACACATACAATACATATGTGTCTAATTTTAAACAGTTCTACAGCATTTAAGTACTTTGCTGAATGAAGTCCACAGTTTTTAAGAAGTAGCAAAATCAAGAAGTCCATCTTTGTCTCATGTGAACAGAATGCCACATAAATCTTTTGGCAATCAAAATTTACAACTCTGTGTGCATTCATTTTACATTGTAGTTTCCTTGGGACTAGCTGCAAACAATAAGAAGTTTGGGCTCTAATACCAACTTGCCTGATCAATATAAAAAGCAGTCCCAGCCCGGATCTCTCTGCGTTGTTTGAGGTCAGTTTCTGTAGTGTCCCTGGATAGTGCAATATACTCAACCTCCCGCTTGGTCAGCTCCTGTAGACAAGATTGTGAAGTTATTACAGAAAACAAATCTATAAGGCCAGTAGTTGAACTTTTACAATGTACCTAATGGTATAATTGTCCTGGAGAGCCCTAGACAACAGCAAAGTCATTTAAAGCGACTCCAAACAAAAATTTAATATCTCGTAATTTTAAGATGTTTCCGCTGTGCTCTCCATTCAACATAAGGGTTTGAATTTTTGCTCAATAACCTTTTTATTTTCCCCAAACTGGTTGTAAAAGCCATAATAACAAGCCATAAATCCTCTAAACTGAACAGCTATAAAGTATTCTATCCAAGCTACCTTTCCAGCAATGGACAGTGAAAAAAATACCCAAAACCTAGAAATCCTGAACACAAACTCACAAGTTTCCTATCATGTTAATTAGAACTCTAGCAAGTTCCCACCCTGATTCATTCAATGGTGTTTAAACAGTAACTTACTGTAAACTTTAACTGTAATCATGTGCACATACAGAGTTTGCAGACCTTTGTCAGTATGTTGAGAACTATAATTTTCTCCTCCTATCTCACGTTGCTATTGTATCGTTAAGGGCAGCCTAAATCTGTAAAGTTAAAGATTACCCCCATAAAGAAAGTGCTTACTTTGTGCTGCTACTGCTTTTTAACACAGTATGCTTGAAATGTTCTCCCTCATGATTTTTCTCCTACTTGTTTTTTTTAACTTTGGAAATAGGAGAAATGTCAAGTCGGGAGACTCATCTTCTATAAGTATACAGAATCAGTAATTCTTGAAATGTCCTCAGCCTTTAGCTGAATGGGCAAGGGCAGTGAATCTCTAACCAACAGATCTTTCTTAAGCAATCCTATTACATATTTGTAAGAAAAAAATACAAATGAAAAAGACTTATAAAGATCTGAATAACTGCCATTTATTTCCATTTCACTTCTTCTACATCTATTTAATCTTAATGCTACCAGTTCCCTAATGGTGCAGACACTACTGACAGAAATTTAAATTTCTATTAAAAAAAAATCCCACAAGGAAAAATAATGATGAGAGAAATAAAGGCATATATTTTTAAACACATAAGAGTAAATAGTGACACTATCCTTTGCAGCACTGTTCCAGTGAAGTATGTTCCCCTGGAACACAATGGGATGAACAGGAAACCATGCAGCAAAGATACAAGATCTCTAGCAGTTCCTTCAGAGTAAAGGAGATAGGTGTGGGCAAACATCTCCTACATCCCATGGGAGGACCACACACATGCACATCTACTCTCTCTACCCAAATAACAGGACATTCCCCTTATAGCTTTTCCTCAGGGTATTTCTTCCCTAAACATCCTCCCAAACAGTATAGGTAAGCAATGTGGCTTGTTTTTACTGTATGCAGACATCTTGGTTCTGTAATGCACACAATGCAAAAAACAGATGGTTTTTCCATTTGCAACAGCATATGGAAACTACGCAAGTTCACCAAATCTTTTTTCTCCTATAGTAATTAAGCAAAAAAGCATATTGACTAAAATATTTGTTCTTCCTAGTCATTATAAAATACAATAAAACCTTTAAAAGCATGTGCCTGGAACAAGTTCTTTGGCAACTAACTACCCAGTCAGAAGATCTTCTAGTAATAAAGTATTTACAGACATACACTGTAATAACTAAACAATGTTAACAACTTCAGTTTTCCATAATTTAAACAAAACTTACCAGATACTGCATGGCAATGGATCGACGAAGGGGCCCAGGGGGACCTATAAGAAAAACATCCTGCCCCAAAAGATCTTTCTGCATTATCCATCTTAGATGATGGACGACAGATTGACCCAAAGAATCTGAAACTACAAGAAAAATAAAATTATAATTTAATTCAAGTGTTAATGATGAAGCTTTCAACAAAAATGATTAAAAAGTTAGGTGGCCATATTACTTGCTTATTTGGTTCTTAAAACTGAAGAAATGACAACATGTAAAGCAGAATAATTTAAAAGTAGCAAATTCTGCATGCAGCCTATGTAACCTATCCTACCTATCCTCATTCTCTATACACCATTTCCTTCCATTTAATAAATCCAATCCTTGCATCCCTTGCCAATTAATCTTTAAATCTGCCATGGCAAAGACTGCGTATTATAAATGTGTTCAGCACCAAGCTGTAGCCCCAATCCTCATTTAACCTCTCAGCATTACTGTATTGCAAATAATAAATAATTTACTGTTAATAGTAGTGACATTATTGAGAACAACAACAAAACCCTTATCTACCGTGTATTTCAATTCACATGTACAAAATGAGTTTCAACAGATAGCAATGTTTGCACCAGTAGTCTCAAGAGGCTTAACTTGCAGTGACAAATATGGTCAAATTTTTTTTTAAATAATTAAACCCCTGAGTTTTAGTATACTTAACACAGAGAGTGGCTATACAGCAGGGGTGCCCCAGGTCTGAATTGACCCATACAAGGCACATGCTGGAGCCTCATGGGCAGAGCCCAGGGCACATGCCACACACGGCACCCATTCCAGCCACTCTGGGAGCTGCACCGCACACAGTGCCCACTCCAGTTGATCCAGGATCCAGCTGGAGCAGGCATCATGTAACACAGTCCCAGATCAGCTGGGGGAGTACCACGTGCAACGCAGTCCAGCCAGGGCAGGAGCCATGTGTTGCCCACTTCAGCTGGACTGGGACACTGAATGCAGTGTGGGTCCCAGACCAGCTACACTGAGTGCTGTGTGGGGTGGATCCGGTATGTGGGGAGCGGAGTGAAGGGTTCTGTGGGCCCGCTCTGACCCACAGACCAGTTCCTTGCCACTCATGTGGTCCAGAGGCCCCTGCTATACAAAATTAAGAAAGAACTGTCAAGTCTTACTACCTCAAACTTTGGTAATATGCAGCCTACAGACAGGGTAAAAACTAAACCAGTCCAAAGCATCTCCCTTGGCTCCTACATTAGCATTCCTGATGTAAGAGGCAGAAGTATGCTAAAAAAGGTTTTTCTCTCCTCTTAGGCTGTATTCCTGGACACTGCCTGAAGTATAATTTTTTGCCAATAAAAGTTAACTTTTTTGACACAGTAAGCTTTCATCTGTATGTTTTTCTTCTTACTTAATATTATGCTTGATATGTATTTAGTGGTTTCTAGGATGATTCATTCTTCTTGAAATTGTTGTAATAAAATTAATTCTACTAATGCCTAGAATATGAGATCAGGGATATATCTGGTAGCCGTGTTGGTCTGAGAAATTGCAAAAAAAATATTGTATTTTTCTGCAAGCTTTCGGGCTCACATGCCCTTTACCATCTTAAACTTTCACCGAGCCTGATGAAGGGTGTGTGAGCCTGAAAGCTTACATAAAAATACATATTTTTTTGCAATTTCCCAGTTGGTCTAATAAAAGGTACTATCTCTGAACCAAGAGTTCTAGATATTTGCATTTAGAGTATAAGATTGCATTTTTTGTTGTATACATCTAAGTAAATGTAATGTATTAAAAATTGATACTGATAATTTATCCTTTAAAAAGTCAGATACTGAGCTAATAATTTCTTATTCTAAATATGCCTTTGTATCTAATCTTTTTAAAACTGTTCATACCTGCACATAATATATCTAGATATTAGCAAGGGTTTTAATGCTAGTCTTAAATGTCATTTTCATAATCCAAGAAATGTAGACTAGATAGTATCACAGGGTCATCTCCACGAATGGCCATGAAACCCTTGGAGTCCCTGCTGTTCTAACCCACTCCACATTCTGTGGGCAGTCACCCCTTCATTCACCCACTCTGTTTTGATATATATTACTTAGATGTGAGTGAGGCTGCCCAGGGCTTCCCAAATCACTCTCTAATGACCGCCAGGTGTCTGCAGTTGCTGCCTTAAGGACTAGTTGCCTGACTCCAACCACCTCTACAGTGCACCCTATGCTTCCCAAGTGTAGTCACTCACTGATATTGCCTTCCACTTAGCCCTTCCTCTGGGCTCCTGGGCCCTCTTTGCTCCCACACACACATCCCCTCAAGCTGGGCTCCAAACCCTTCCCTGGGTCCCTAGAACTCTCCTCCCCCACTTAGTTCCTCTCCAAACCTCCAGACTGCTTCTTGCTGTATGCTCCAAGCTGGAATTTTGGGATTGCAGCCCTCCTGTGGGCAATACTCCCTCACCAGCCTCCAGGTCACTGCTGGCTCATCTCAGGGCCTGGGCTTATATGCTCCCTAAGCCCTTATATCCTCCTCCTGGATCAGATGACTGCAGTTAAGCCAAGCTATACCTGCAGGCTGCAGCCTGACTGCTTCTAAAGCAGCATGAGCACCAAGCCTCCTGCCATAGACAGAACTACTTTTAGATGGAAAGATAACTATATGAACAATCACAGAATATAAAGCAAAAAATAACTATTAATGTATCAATGTCAGACCAGCAGGGGGGGAGCACAGTTGCAATAAGCAGACTCCACTAAAGGCTGTTCTGGGACCAGTGTTGTTTAACACTTTTTATTAATGATATGGATGCAAGAAAAGAGTGAAATGATCAGGTGTGACACAAAACCAGGAGGCATTGTAAATCACTTCAGAGGACAGGACCAGAATTCAAAGGGATCTTGATAAATTGAGAACTGGATTATAAACAACAAAATGAAATTTAACGAAGACAAAAATAAAGCACTACACAGAGGAAAGAAAAGCTAGATGCATAAGTATAGAATGGAGGATACACGGCTAAACAATAGAACAGCAATTTGGGGCTGCATTAACATAAGTATTGTACGCAAGACCAAGATGCTTCACTTGGTGCTGGTTGGACGTCAGCTGCAGTACTTCATCCAGTTTTGGGCACCACACATTTTAAGAATGACGTAAGAATGAGAAGAACATGGAAAGGATCCATAAGTAATGTTAAATGAAGGTATCAAAGGAGTCAGAATGCAAGCCATACAAGAAAAGTAGAAGGAACTAGGTATGCTTTTAACCTGGAAAAAATAAGAGATGGCAGGGGCACAATATCAATTATCATAGAGAAGATGGAGAAAATTTGATTTCCCTTGCCACAGAGGACATGACATGCAGTCACAAATCAAATCTCAGGAAAAACTTCCTAACTGTAAGAATAGTAGGATAATGGAATAAGTTGCCTAGGAAACCTGTGGGATTTCCTTTATCAGAGGTTTTCCAGACGACACTGGACAGATATCTTCTTGTGATGGTTTAGCAATTCTGCAACTGTGTATGGAGTTGGATTAAATGGCCTGTGAAGCCCCATCCAATCATATGATTCTATAATACAGCTTTGAAGTAATCCTATTTCTTCCCTTAGGCTAGGGACAGACATTCAAAAAGCCTGAGCCTAAATTGATTCAACCTTTGCAGATTAGTCTAACCTGGCTAGGCTGAACCAGTTTGTAACCAGACTGACATTATCTCTGGACTGAGAACATTCAGGCACATGCCTGCAGTGGCACACAGTAGAAGCCGGGAGCAGCCCTCCTACAGCAGCCCTCCATTCCCTTGTATAGCATTGTATAGTGCTGAGCTGAGGGAGTGTGGCCAGACCCAAGCAGGACATTCTGATTAGGGAGGTCTGCCCGCACCCTCCCAGGCTTTTCCCCACTCACTGCTCAAGGAGCAGGAGTGTTCCCAGACCCCTGCTAGCAGTCTGAGGCAAGGGGGGTGTCCTGTGCATGCATCTGTTGATGATATGAAGCTTTTCAATCTCCTTCCCTGCTTCTTTATATTGCCTGCAACAAACTGACAGGCAAGCAAGCCAGCAGGGGGTTCATAACAGTGTTTATCACCCCATCAGCAAAACAACAGCTTCTCTCCATTAGTTCAAACTCTTCTTAAAAAGCTTACCACCTGACCTATTGATTAGCTCCAAAAAGCCCTAAGCAGACACTGTTCTGTCTGCCCGTCCCAGTGAAATTGAAGACACAGACACCTCTTGTCATTAGCTAGCATACCACATGCCTAGGATCCATGGGGCTAGGGTCTGTGCTGTGGGAGATGGAAGGGATGGAGGTGGGGGGGTTCCTGCTTGAGCAGCAAGGCGGTGGGTAGGGCAAAGGAAAGCCAGGCAGACTCTGCTGTACCTGCAGTCTCTGCTGAGCTCTAGCCAGGGAGCAGAGGGGAGGGCCAGCTCTATTGTGAAGCAGAGAGCCCTGCCCAGCCCAGAGAGCATGCCAGGATGCTGGGGGAGTCTGGTTTATCTTAAACCAGCAAGGGGTCTAGAACAGACATTGCATAAACCAGTTTGATGCAAATCAGTTAAATATGATACTACATTCAACCAGGTTCATCTCAAACCAGTTTCAGCCATTTTCAAACCAGTTTATGTGCGCTGAACATCTGTTCTATTACAGGTTCAAAGCAGTGTCTGATCACTTAAACCAGTTTACATGTAATGTCTATCCCTACCCTTACTGTTCAAATAAGATTCCCACTGAAGAAAAATTACATAAAAGCATCACTAAAATGTAAAACTATCTGAATCTGGCATCCATGAAAGTCATTAAAAGCCTTTCCCAGCTCCCACTAAAATCAATCAGATTCTTACTAGTGATTTCATTGGGGCAGGAATGGGGGCCCAGGTGGAAATCATATAACCCAGTGTACACATTTTTATTACAAGACAAAAGGAAACCAGGCAATTCAAATAAATGCTTTTAAACAACTATTTATGGACACTTAAATGACAACACATTGCTATCTCCATATGGTGTCAGCATGCTAAGTTATCTAGGCTGGAATATTACTGTTTTCTTCAAATGTAACACACAAGACATATATACCACACACACAGTTGGACTAATGACAAATAGCATACAAATTTCTATGAGAACAT